CTACCTGAATCTTCAGATCTGGAAGTCAAAATGAATCCCAAACAGGACAAATAAAAGAAAACCCAAGCTTACACACATCAGAGTTAAACTATAAAAGAATACTTTAAATTATCAGTACTTTTTTTCTAATTGATATGTGAAAGTATTTTAAATATCCTAGAAAAATAATCCTTGGAAGGTATGCATGTTTTACCATGTGCTTCATGGTATCTTCTTGGTTTTCTTTTTTTTTTAAGATTATATTTATTTATTTGACAGACAGAGATCACAAGTAGGCAGAGAGAGAGAGGAGGAAGCAGGCTCCTTGCTAAGCAGAGAGCCTGATGCGGAGCTCGATCCCAGGACGCTGAGATCATGACCCAAGCCAAAGGCAGAGGCTTTAACCCACTGAGCCACCCAGGCACCCCCCCCCTTTTTTTTTTTAAAGGGTATCTTCTTTTTTTAAAAAGATTTTATTTATTTATTTCACAGAGATCACAAGTAGGCAGAGAAGCAGGCAGAGAGAGGAGGAAGCAGGCTCCCTGCTGGGATCATGACCTGAGCTGAAGGCAGAGGCTTTAACGCACTGAGCCACCCAGGCGCCCTGCTTCATGGTATCTTTCAATGAATAGGGTTTTTTAATTCTGATGTAGTCAAATTTGTCAATCCTTCCCTTTACATTTGGCTCTTTTTCTATGAAAAAAAAAAAAAAAAGAACAAAAACTTCCTTACCAGAAGACTAGTAAAGATAAGCAATCTTTTCTTAAAACTGTCAAGTTTTTCTTTATACATTTAAGTCTTTGATCCAGCTGGATTTGATTTGATTTTTTCGGATGGATCACCAACTTTCCCAAAACCATCTACAATGCCATCTATATCACCTATCAATTGTTCACACAGATATGGGTCTGTTTCTGGACTCTCCATTCGGTTTCACTGGTCTGTCTATCCCTGCACCAATACCATATGAAATTAATCAATATCGGTGCCTGGATAGCTCAGTTGGTTAAGCAACTGCCTTTGACTCAAGTCATGATCCTGGAGTCCAAGGATCGAGTCCTACGTCTGGCTCCCTAATTGGTGGGGAGCCTGCTTCTCCCTCTGACCCTCCCCCTTCTCATGCTCTCCCTCTCTCGATTACTCTCTCTCTCAAATAAATAAATAAAATCTTAAAAAAGAAAGAAATCAATCAATGACAATACATACTGAGACCTGACAGTGGAAGTTTCCCTGACTTGCTCTTTTTCAAAATCATCTTGACTATTCTTAGCCTTTTTGCACTTCCATTTTAATTTTAGAATTAGCTTGTCAAATTCATGAAAACCTGATTAACTGTAACTGCAATGCATTATAGATCAATTTGGAAAAAACCAACATCTCTACACTATTGAATATACCCATCCATGAATATGGTATATTTTATTTTTCTTGTCTTACTGCAATGACCAGGACCTCTAGTACAATGCTGAATTGAAGACATGACTGCAGGTAGCTTTGTCGGTTCCTCATTTAAAGGTCCATTTTTCTCTAATTTCACCACTGAGTATGATGTTTGCATAGATTTTTTTTTAAAGATTTTATTTATTTATTTGACAGAGAAAGATCACAAGTAGGCAGAGAGGCAGGCAAGAAAGAGAGGGAAGCAGGGTCCCAGCTGAGCAGAGAGCCCGATGTGGGGCTCAATCCCAGGACCCTGAGATCATGACCTGAGCCAAAGGCAGAGACTTAACCCACTGAGCCACCCAGGCGCCCTGCATAGATTTTTAGTAAACAACTTTTGTCAGGTTTAGAAAGTTCCCTTTTATTCCTAGTTTGCTAAGGATTTGCATCATAAATCAATGTTGAATTTTACCAACTGCTTTTTCTATACCTAGTGAGATGAATGTCCAGCTTTTCTCCTTTAATTAATTAACAAGGTGCATTACATTAATGAATTTTTTTTAAGTAGGCTCTATACCCAGTGTGGGGCTTAAACTCATGACCCTGAGATCAAGAATCACATCCTCCAGGTGCCTGGGTGGCTCAATCAATTAGGCATCCACCTTCAGCTCAGGTAATGATTCCAGGGTCCTAGGATTAAGCCCTGCATCAGGCTCCCTGCTCAATAAGGAGTCTGCTTCTCCCTCTCCCTCCCCCTGCTCATGCTCTCTCTTACTTGCTCTCTCTTTCTCAAATAAATAAAATCTTAAAGAAAAAAGAAAAAGAGTTGCATGCTCTATTGACTGAACCAACCAGGCGCCCCCACATTAATGAATTTTTTAATGTGAATCCACCCTAGTATTCTTCAAATAAACGCACCTTGGACATAATGTATTATCTTGACTATACACTGGTGAATTCAGTTCTGGAGGAAATAAGAGGGGAATAAAATAAATAGTACCCCCCTAAAAATTCCCAGAACTGAGGGGGCAAACATTCAGTCCAAGAGGGCTCTGTGTGTGCCCAGCACAACCACAATGGTTAAAACCCTAAAACAAACATAAATAAAATGTCCCAAGTCAGGCTGCTGCTGTCTTGTATAAGTTCAGAAGCACCGCTGCATTGCATCTACATAAATGGTGCCCCCTGGATCCGTGCAGTACATGGCCATTTCCAGACACCATTATAGCTGGGTTTTGTGCAACACGACATTCTTCCTCCCCAGAGCTCCTCAATGGAAAACCTGTAGCAGCAAAAGCAGCTGCTGGAAGATAAAACCATGACAAAATGCTAAGTGAGGGGTGCCTGGCTCCGTCCTCGGGGAGTAGGACTCTTGATCTCAAGCCCCATGTTGGATGTAGAAATTACTTGAAAATAAAATCTTAAAACAACAACAACAACAACAACAACAACAAAACGCTGAGTGAAAATCGCTTCAAATTTGGAAATCTGTTCCCAATCTAGAAAGTATGAGGGTAGAATAAAGGCATTTTAGACACAGCAGAATTCAGAACGGTCCTCCCAGGTGCCTTTTCTTAGGTAACGACAGAAAATCTTGGTAGGCAATGTTCCACAGTTTTGATTCCTTGCTTCTCCTCCAAGTTTTTCAGTCTCCAACCTTACCTCAGACAATCTGGTTCACTTAAGGGAAACCCAAATTCACTCCCATTATCCATGGATGGGCTTGATTAGCATAAAGACAACTACTCTTCTCTTACTATGGTCTTATTCAGAGACTCAGGCCTGTGGGTCAATCAATCATAGCCCTCCCCACCACCCAAGAACTCGAATCAGGAATGGATGTGTGAGATGCTCTGGCCAATGACATACAAGGAGATATTTGCTATGCGCTTTCTTTCTTTCTTTCTTTCTTTCTTTCTTTTTTTCTTTCTTTCTTTCTTTCTAAGATTTTATTTATTTGTCAGAGAGAGAGCGCACACAAGCAAAGCAAGGGGAGAGGCAGGCAGAGGGAGAAGCAGGCTCCCTGCTGAGCAAGTAGCCTGATGTGAGACTCGATCCCAGGACCCCAGGATCATGAGCTGAGCTGAAGGCAGATGCTTAATGAACTGAGCCACTCAGGCATCCCTGCTATGTGCTTTCTGGAAAAGAAGTTTCTAAAACCATGACCAGAAGAGATGCCCCCTCTTCCTCCAGATTAGTGGGGTGCCAATGGAGGTCTCAAGCTGCCTAAGACATTTCACCACCATAAGAGAAGTTGCCCCAAGGAAAAAGCCAAACCCAAGGGAAACCCAGCGAAGCTACTCACAGGGCTTGAGCCACCAGATCAATCCCAACCTGAAGCTAGCCCTATTGAGCCAAAAAATATTCTTTGAGTTTAAGCCTCCTCAGCAGCTTCTCTGTCATCCCCAGTTAAAAACTTCCAGAAAATAGTGGATTCAATGCAGAGTATACATGGGAAGACACAGAATGGGGAATCTACAGGGGTCCAGAGGGCAACCAACTCAGACTGACAAGCCTCCCCATGGAAATTCAGTAGGATGCCTTATATAATGGAGCCTCCAGGGGAGAGGGACAGAAAGTGAAGATATGATGAAACAAACCAATACAAGGGGGGAAAAAGGTTAAAAAGGAAAAAAACTCCAGGAAAAGTAAAAGACTACAGGGGGGAAAAAAAGGGATGTAATCACTGTATAATTCTAGGCTCTGCAGTGAATTTTTAAACAGTCAAAGTAACATAAACCAGGTTTACTGACTTAACCTCAGTGTCTGATGGGAGTACACTGAGAAAACGGAAGGAAGAAAAACGGACAGTGTTCCTCATCTGTCATAGCAAAAGTAAGGCTAAAAAGAACACATCCCTGCTTGCGTTAAATAAATAAATAAATAAATAAAATCTTTAAAATTAAAAAAAAAAAAAAAGGACAGTGTATGCTTGTTACAGATACGAAGGTGTCTACTAGATTCTAAAAATTGATAAAACAAACACCATGGGGAATGGGACCAGGAGTGGAAAGGTGACTGGTTTTTTTGCTCTTGCAAAAATAGCTTCTCAGGACTAGCTACTTAACACTGTGCATGTATTACACCTCTATAAAATAAAACATTAAAATGCTTCGTGTAAATAAATGAGAGACATTTGCTTGGGGGCTAAGCCTGAAGGAACGGTAGGAGAATTCAGAGGGCGGCTTTATTAGGTTGGTTGGATGATAGCCATTTTTTTTTTCCTTTCTGAACTTTGTCTTGGTTAAATTTTAACATTTATAGTTTTTACTGTGTGTCAAATTGGGAGAAAAAATATATGGCAGGAAAAGAAATTTCAGCCCCACACCCAGGCAGCCAGGAGACATCAATAGCCTGGCATGGGACGGAGGCACCAAGGCCAAGGTGGGGGGCAGGGGGCTGCAGCTTTCCCTGAGGTCAGCAAAAGGCTCTCCTCCCTGGTTCCACACCTCACCCCCCCACCCCGCCCAGCAGATCTCCCAGGGGCCTGGGCCTCCCCAACAGGCCCGGCCCAGAGGTAAAGGGGTTACAACTCAGCCTCCTCCACACCCCACTGGGGCCAGGGCTGGACCATCCACGTGCAGGGGACTCAGGTGCCAGGGGGCCCGCGGCACAGGAGGGCCGAGGAAGAGGTCACCTACCACAGGAGTCGCAGGTGAAGCAGTCCGTGTGATACAAGCTGCCCATTGCCTGGCAAGCCTGCCTTGCTCCGTAGATGCCCAGCCCACACTTGATGCAAATGCCTGTGGGAAGAGAGGCAGGAGAGAGCCGAGGTTAGCACCGGGAACATCCTGATGCTGCCCGACCTCAGGTGAATGAACTTCCCAAGGCCTCCGTCGCTCAGTTATTAATGGCTGATGTGGGAACCATACGGAGCATCCTAGGGTTTGCGCCTGGGGTTGTCTGAGGATTCAAAGAGCAAGCAGAGAAACTGGCCCTGAGTCAGGGCTCCCCAACACTGTCCTTGCCAGTAAGATGTTAATGACACGCCGGACGCTGGGGCGGCCCAGTCGCTTCAGTGTCTGACTCCTGGTTTTGGTTCAGGTCGAGATCTCAGGGTGGCGAGATCGAGTCCCACCTTGGGCTCCAGGCTCGGTGCAGAGTTTGCTGATTCTCCCTTTGCCTCTGCCCCTCCCACCAACTCGCAAGCGCGCATGCGCTCCCGCTCTCTCAAGAAACAATCTTTAAAAAATATTAATGACAAAAAATAGATACATATTAATGACTTTTTTTATATAAACAGACTTTATTTATTTATTTGGGCACTAGCAGCGGGGAGGGGAGCAGCAGAGGGAGAGGGAGAAGCAGGCTCCCCGCTGAGCAGGGAGCCCGACAAGGGGCGGGCTCCATCCCAGGACCCTGGAATCATGGGGGATCTGAAGGCAGATGCTTCACCGACTGAGCCACCGAGACGCCCCTGTTAATGACATGTTTATACCAGAAAGTCATTCTGGCCCCCTCACCAGTGACCTGTTCGTGGACTGACAGAAAATCCTTTCTGCCATCTCTGGGCCAGAAAGAATAAAGCGCACATGGGCACAACGAGGGCAGGGTAGCTGAGCCTCCCCAGCCACGCTTTCCTCCTCCGGAGCAGAAGGGGCGTCTGTTCTTTTGTTCAACCAGCACGTGGACACTGCTAGGCTGCTACATGCCCCACCGCTGAGGTCCTAGAGATTCTGCCCTAGAAGTCCCCTAGAAGTCCCCAGCCTCGAGGAGCCTCTGGGCCCACAAAGGGGGTCAGCCGACAACAGGCAAGTAAGTGCTATGGAGGAAAATACGGCTGGCTAAGTATCAGTGTGTGTGTCTTAAATAGGATGATGATGGGGAAGGCCCCAGTGACGGGGTGACATCTGAGCTAAGTCTAGAAGAAAGTGGGGAGGAAGGTGCCGTGCAGGCATCTGGGATCACTGGGTGGAATCGAGGACGACCCCCAGAAGGGCAGCGCCCAGCAGGCGGGGAAGGGGAGGTAAGGAAAAGGGTGACCAGCAATGCCAGGGGCCCAGAACACGGGGTGTGGGGGACAGCCCAGAAGCCCCCTTCAGTTACCCAGGGTCCCCATACCCCTCAGGGCAGGAAGATGGGCTCCACTGGCCCTCTGGACCCTATGTCTGCTGGCTGCTCCAGGACATGCTGCCCTCCCCCTCTCCCTCCTGCCTTCTCCCAGATCTCTCTCATCAGCATTTAACCGTGGCGGAGCCTCACCCCCATCAGCACCACCACACGTCAAGAAAGCTCAGTCCACACTCAGCCGCCTCCTGACACTGCAGACAGCCAGGCTTCCCATCCTGATCCTGCTATCGAGGTGGGCCAGCTCCTCCTTTTCTGTTTCCAGGATCCGACCCACACCCACATCTCCCGTCCCAGCCCTAGTGGGAGCGCCCTGCACAGTGCTGGGCCTCCCATGCCTTAGCCTCCCCAGCTCTGATGCCCTCAAAACCAGGCAGGCACTCCAAGGCAGCGGATGGGGACCCAGGTGAGTGGAGAACAGAGCCTCGGCTGTGGATGGCTACTGGGTGGGAACGCAGGCCCAGAGCTGCTGAAGGGGCCAAATTTTCAAAAGAAGCTAGAAATCTACATTTGTGACATCTTTCCACACTGAAGTGAATTACTAACTTACATGATTTGAAAATGCAGAGGTCAAACACACTAGGCCCACAGGTTTCTGCACACAGCCGTTCCTGGGCTCCCCCGGGGTCCTATCCACCGCAACGTCTCACCCCTCCTGAGGGCTCCGGGTGCTCTGCCCCAGCCCAGACCTCTCTCCTGAGTCATGGATCCACCTCCCAGCTGGCCCCAGATCACCACGGAGCCGGTGGATCTCCCGTAAGAACGGTCTGGCCTCTGGGTCCCCACTGGGGAAACAGCACTGGCGCGTGGCTGGGTTTCAGGGTGGCATCCCGGTGTCCCCTCCCTTTGTCATCCCCAACGCTGAATCTCAGCTCCTCTGCTGCCTGATTTCCACTTCATTCCCTCTTCTCACCGCCACTAGCCTGACTCAACACCAGCTCTCATCCCAAAGGCCATTTCAAAAGCATCCTCAAGACCTGGCCCCCAACGGTCCTTCCCACAAACCGCTGTTGGACTCCTCTTTCTAAAGTGAAAATGACCCACCACTCCCCCCTTACTCTTGTCCATCAAGCTCGAACACCTGACCTTGTCCCTCTCCTAAGTGACCAGAATCCACAGTGAAGAGTGAAAGTCAGTTGCCCGTGGGAAGCAGGACGGGAAGCGGGGCAAGAGGGGAGGCTAATGACTTTGAACGATTCATTTTGACTTCTGTTTGCTTTGTTTTCTAAATATGTGCTTGCATCACTTTAATAAAAAGACACTGAAGAAAGAGAACCAGGAGAACGGAGTCCACACAAAATTCATTCAGAGGGTACAGCATTTCGGAGAGTGGACTCCACCTCTGGGATGGAACAGGGAGAGGCCAAGGCCTGGCAAACAGCAGCTGGGCTGGGGCATCACAGGGTCCTCCTGTGCGAGAGTCGGCTCAGTCCCGTGATGGGGGGGGACAGACAGTGGAGGGGCGATGGCAGGCGGGTGAGCAAAGGCGATGCTGAGCAGATGCTGGGATGGGAAGAGGTGGGAGTGCCAGAGAGTCTGCGACCAAACTGGGGTGGGTGGGCTTCTTCCTCGCCTCTCTCCTTTTCTTTCATTTTCCTTTCTTTTCTTTTTCACGAAAGACCCTTGTATATACTTATTAACCAAAGCAAAAGGGCCAGTGGAAAGAGGAAAGCCAAAGATGGAGGAGGTGGGGGTTGGAGGTCAAATGACCACGGTCCTCAGACTTGGACGTGGACTTGACACCCTGAGGGTAACAGGCACCCTCCAAATGCTGACCTCAATTTTCGCAGCAAAGTCGAAAGCGAGCCCAGGAACCGGAGGGACAGGAAGGTTGTTGAGGGAATCAAAGATGGAACAGACCAAGGCTTAGGAAGATGCGTGGTGCCCAGAAGATCACAGGGGTTCAAGACCATCACCCCACCCCACCCCTTATAGCAGCAAAAAACGGTGCTGTGGCGTGGACTCAGAGTCAGGGTTCTGCAGGGCAGAGGGGGTCCAGAGGAACCCGAGGTACTAGTGAGACCAGGTGGCAGTGAGCACTGAAGACCGCCAGAACGATGCAAAAACAGGGTGTGGCCCTGGGAGGAGGGGGCTCGAGAGAAAGGAGAGAAGTCACCAAAGTTAGAAGTTCCGGAGTGGGGGGGGGGGAGGTTCCGGAAGCCTGAGGCTGTTGGCTGGCTAAGGGCAGAGGAACTTGATGAAGAGAGATGGGAGCAATTCCAAAGATGTCAGTGAACCGAGAGAGGGACCAGGACGTCAGCAAATGTCAGGGCCAAGGAGGAGGGCGGATGGCACAGAAAGGAACAAGCACACTGAGGTTGTGGAATATTGGACATCCCTTGGAGCCCATGCTACCTGCCGACTTCCTTTTGCAGAACTTCGCATTATTGGAGCTCAATTGTACGAAACTGCTACTTTTTATAGCTCCAAGAACTCAAATTTGTTAGCGCTAAGTTATCAGCAATATGTATGCAGTAGTATGCAGTAGCTGCCCATATTCTTATAAATTAGGAAAATGTTACCTGGATCTGGCTTCTCTTGGGGGGAAAAAAAAGATCTATCACCCCTCACCTCCCACTCCTCGGTGGCTCGGTGGCCCCTTTAGAAAGGATGACCCACCAGCTTCAGCCCTTCCTTCCCTCTCCCACTACGAGCTTGGGGTCGGCCACCTCAGCTTCACACAAAGACCCCGCCAGCAGCTGCCCTGGGCCCTGTAGTGCAGGGGGACAGGAGACAAGCAGTCCTGCCGGCAGAGAGCACTGGAGTCGTCCCCTTCAGAACACCATCGCACCTTTGGGCCCTGCCATCTGCCTGGCAGGAGAGGCAACAGCTTCCTAACCCATCTCTGCGCTCCCAAGGCCACCAGACGGCAGCCGCAAGACCTACCTACCAAACCACACATTTCTCACCCCAACGCTCCCAGATGAGCCTGCAACCCTCCCGCGGGAGCCCCCTCGCAAAGGCAGACCGACCCTGTGGAGCAGACACTCCCCTGAACACCTGAGCCCTCCCTGGCTGCCGCCCCGGGCGCAGAGTGGAACAATGCCCATTCTCACTCGCCTCCCTTGGCCCGCATTCTTCTGTCTGCCTGGAATGCCCCCATCTAGCCTGTCACATACAGCTTCCTCCTCCCTCAAGATCCAGTTCCGGGCGGTCCTGAGCTGCTGGCTGGAATGAAGGCACGAAAGATACAAACCCACGGACAGCCTCCGTCCAGCTCCGCGTGATAACCACTCCCACCCCCGCCAAAGCCAGGTGTCTCCGCCTTCCCGCTTACTTATCAGTAAGGGGGGAGGGGTCTCGAACCTAAAGAAGAGACCTACGAGTTATCAAAAAAAAAACTAGGTAGGCAGGGAGCGGCCAGGGTCGGACTGGGAAATGCAGGCTGTCAGAGACTGGTGGGCTTTGCAAACGCAGCGCAGCAGGATTCCCTTTGGAAACAGCCCATACACGCAGCACAGCCCAGAGCGAGGACAGCCCAGTGTGACTGGCTTGGTCCCCTTACACCTCGGGGTAAGGGCTTCCCCTCCCTCACACACTGCCCCCAGTCACTGCCATCACCAAAGCTTCGGGTCAGGAGGGTCCGGTGGTACCTGGCTCAGCCCACCTGCCTGCTCCTGTCCATTCCCCACACTGCTGGGAGCTACGGGAACACCAGTACCGCGGGCTCCTACCCGACCAGGGCTGCCAGGCCGGTCACAAAGCACCGCGAGCAGAGGCAAGCGCTGAGGATGAAGAAATGATCCGAAAACGCCTTATTCCGCCTACTGACCTGACTTACTCTCCAAGTGAAGAACAGTGAGGGCATCAACTCACTTTGCCAGAACCCCTTCCCCGGCCGGAGATCCACGGGCGAAGTCGCTGCTCTAAGTAAACCTCGGACCCCGCGGGTCGCACTCACACCCCCTGTTGCCCAGCCCCCCCACCCCGGGAGCCACGCTTCTCCCGGCGCGGCGCACCCGGACAACCGCGGGGGGCTCAGGACCGCGCGGCCGAGCTCGCTCACCGAAGTAGTCCCGCGCCGTGCGCGCCTCCAGCGCCCGCTCCAGCTCGCGGGTCAGCGCCTCCAGCCGCCGCTCCGCCGCGCTCGGGCCGCCCTCTCGGGCCGCGGGCAGCGGCAGCGAAGGCAGAGGGAAGGGGGCCGGCCCCGTGGGCTCCGGGGAGCGAGCCGGCGCGGGGCCGGCGGCGGGCAGCAGCAGGTCGGCGTAGGCGCCGGCCGAGCCGCGGGAGCCGAGACTGGACACGCTGGAGCGGGCGCTGCCCACTGACGGCGGCCCGGGGCCGGGGCGCGGGTCCGAGCGGCCGGAGCGCGGGCTACCGTGGCGCTGGTCGTAGCCCAGGCTGATGCCGCTGGAGCGGGCGCTGCCGCTGCCGCCGCCGCCGCCGTCGGAGCCCGCCAGGCTGGCCCGCGGGCTGCCCGCGGGCTGCGCGCTGAGCTCGGGGGCCGCCGCGCGCCGCGGGCCTCGCTCCCCACGGCTCAGTCCGTCCGTCCCGGCCTCGGGGCCGCCGCCGCCGCCCTTCCCTCTGCGGCCCAGCGCCTGCGCCGCCTCGTCTCCCGGCCCGGGCCGCGGCCCCCGCCGCCCCCGGCCTGGAGAGTCGCCGCCCGGCTCCAGCTCCCGCAGGGCCAGCCCGGCCAGGAGCAGGGCCGCCTCGTCCGCGGCCGCCCGGGAGCGCTGCATGGCCCGGCCCGCCGGCCCTGGCGCGTCACCTCCGCCTCCGCTTCCCGCCGCCGCTCCGGCCGCGCCGCCGCATCGTCCGCCCCAAGCCCGGAGCCCGCCCCGGGACCCCTGGGCGCGGGGCGGGGCGGGGCCGGCGCCGGGCCGGGGTCGCTCGGCCGGCCACGCGCGGTCCGGGGGCCGCGGCGCTCCGCTGAGTGGCGCGCGAGGCGGAGGAATGCGCGCTCCGAGGCGCCGGGCCGCGCCCCCTCCTCCCGGCGGGCGCGCGGGGGGCGGAGGGACTCCTTTGTGGGGGCAGGAATGCGAGGAAGGAGACGGCGCTGCGGCCTTTGGAATGCGGGGGGAGTGGCGGCGGCGGCGGCGGCGGCGGAGCGGCGGCGGAGCGGCGGGGGCCGCTCTTGCCTGGAGCTTGGAGGGGCGCGGAGGCCGGGCCGGGACGCCGGGGCGTGCAGCCGGGAGCTGGCCGCGGTGGCCGGAGCGGCGGCTGCGGCGCAGCGGACAGAGGCGGGCGCGGCCGGGCGCTGGGGCCGTCGGGCCTCTGGAAAGGCCCGGGATTCCCACGGGCTGAGCTGGAGGCGGCTCCCCCAGCCCCCGGCCGGAGTAAGAAATACGAGCAGTCGACAAACGGTTCCCACATCCTCCCATCTTGCTAACCAGCGCCGCCAGCGTTTCGGGCGCGGGGCCGGCCTAGTTCAGCCCGGGCCAGAAGTGCTGCTCCCGCTTCAGGACCCAGGAGGACACTGGGCGTCTCGTGCAGATGCGCCCCCCAGGACCTCGAGTGACCCCTCGACCACCACCACTTCCCCCCGCCCCAGCCCGTCTGGGAGCCATGTGGGTGCGCATCGGTCTGCAGGGATGGTGGTGGTGGTGCCGGGACTGCCTGGTGGGGAAGGCGCCGAGGGCTGGAAGCTGGGGTTGGTTAGCGACTGGTCCTCCCGCCTGGTCGCTGTGCGCAGGCCCTCAAGGCCAGGCCAGCCGGAAACAGGCCTCAGACTAAGCCAGCGGACCGGTGAGCCCCAGATGTGGCCACCCCGACAGGCAGGAAAAGCTGCGAGGACACCCCCTTTTTCCAGCACCTGCCCTCAGCGGCTTGGGTGAGGCACCAAGGAGGCTCCAGAAAGCGCTTACCCTCCCCCAGGTATTGGGACACCACGCTGGGGCCTTGGGAACCACCCTGGGAGAGAGGGGCGGCGGGGAGGTAACTAGGGCTTTATGCCCCCAAAACGCAAGCAATAAAGTCCGTGTGTATTTCGCACAGCCTGTTGGGAAAAGCAAACCATTATCTGTCATGACCTGGCGGATTCAGGGAAACGACTTGAGTGGAAGAGTTTCCTCTTTTGCAGGCACCTCCTCCTTGATCATTTCTGCTCAAAGAATTTCAGGACACTTGGACAGTGTCTCAGGGCGCAGGGATCCTGAATGGGGGGAGGACCTGTGGACTCAACATTGCTGAGGAGCCCGCGGTGGTCCATTCTCCTCAGTTAGCCTTGGAGCGGTGTCTCACCAGGAAACTCCTTCCCAGCGCCTCTCAGATCTTGCAGAATTCCAACCCACCACCCAGCCAAGCTCAGGGTGTGGGGGGCAGGCAGAGGTGGATGCAAGCGTTTGGGGGGAGCAAATACCCAGAGGAGCCATCCCCTGAGAAATGATCTCCACTCCGAGAGAAGAAAAGCAAATGAAGATCAACAATGAAATATCACATTTCACTGACCACATTATCTAACATTTTAAAATGGAAATATTGGCAAGACCGTGGTGAAACTGGCACATGTTTTGCTGGTTCGAGTGTAAGTGGGTACGTCCTGTCAGGAAGAGCAGTTTGGGGGTATTAACAGCATCAGAAACAGACAAAAACACTCAGACTACACAGCAGTGCTTCTGTTCCAGAGAAGTAATCCAAACTGCAGATAATGATGCAAGTATGAACGTGTTTATCATATTATTTCTGTAATCTCTACAGTCCTAGGATGTCTCGCCTCTTGAAGAGGACCTCTCTGCCCTTCAAGGTAGTTCTTAAATAACTGTTTCATCCCCACCTGCCAAATTAGAACCTTGAACAAGATTTGAAGGGTCTGTTGGAGTCAGCGAAGTAACATTATATAGGGTCAGCTAAAACACATTGCTTACCCTAGTGGTAATTAACTAGTTACTCACAAAGACCTACCAACAGAAACAACCCAAAAGATTTGCTTTCTCACTCCCCAGCCTCTGCTGACGCCTTCTCCCTCTTCCACTGGTGGAGGGAAGTTCTCTGTGTTCACCTTTCTCTCTGGCTCTTTTCTTCCTCCATCCAGTGGGGTCCAGATAGGTGTTTAACAACCAGTGCTCGTTGGGGGAGAACTGTACCAAGCAGGAGTCCTGATTTATAGCATTTAGCAATCCCACCATGGTGGATTTCACACCACCAACATGGATTACTGCAGAGAGTTGGGAAGAGACAGGTACGACCCCCTCTCGGAAGCCAGTGTGAGCTGGCTTTAGCTACTGTGGGTTATGCTGTTGAAGTTTCACAACGGAATTGTGGGGACTCTAGTGCTATCATCCTTTCAATCACAATCTTCCCATTGCCTGGGGAGAGGGACACACTGAGGAGGCTGGAACGGGACACGGTCAGTCTAGTCTCACACCAAGTCCTAAATCATAGTCTTTTCCTTCTAATTCTCTAGAGGCCAATCCTACCCAGACTGCCTACATTAATGGTAATTCAAAGATTCCCCCTCCTCTCTCTCCTTTGCTCTGGCTTTCATCAGACCCCCTTACCTGTCTGTAGTTTCTGTATTGTCTGGACCCCAATTACTGATACGAGTCAGGGGTTTTCCTAGTCCTGGGACATGCTCATGCCAATCAAGAGTGGCTGTTTAACTTGCATTCCTAGGGAAGAGGGATGGCAATCAGCAAATGCCATGTCGGGGAGTTTCTGGGACCCACTCTTCTTTCTCTCCTTCAAACTGCAGCAATCTTTACCCCTATAAAATAGTACTTCCTGGGGCGCCTGGGTGGCTCAGTGGATTGGGCCTCTGCCTTCGGTCGGGTTGTAGTTTCGGGGTCCTGGATCGAGCCCTGTGTCGGGCACTCTGCTCAGCGGGGAGCCTGCTTCTCCCTCTCTCTCTGCCTGCCTCTCTGTCTGGTTGTGATCTCTCCCTCTGTCAAATAAATAAATAAAATCTTAAAAAAAAAAAAAAAAGTACTTCCTGGGGAGAGCAGCGGGAAGTCTTTCACCTGAAGCCCACTGGTACATCTCCCAGTCCAGCTCCTAAGGGCCAGTCTCCCCACACCCAGCACCAGACCCAAGGTGTGTTCTCTCTGATGCTCCTCTACTGGCAGGACATCTGGGAGCTGTGCCCAAAGGGATTTTTCCATCTTCTCTTTGAGGCCCAACTCTTTCAACCAGATTGAGTCTACCAATCTCCCCTGGTCCTGGTATCCCCCTTTGGCCTCTTCAGGGGCACAGAAGGGTCAAAGCTTCGACAGCTAAAGCCATGGACAGGCTTGGTTCCCCAATCTAAGAATTAGGGTTAAGATCAGATAATTACAGCTTGCTTCTTTCATAAGGATGGACACCTTGGAAGGACCTTCACTTTCTTCCCCTGAAACCTTATCCTGCATCCAGGAAAGGGAATTTATACACAACCTTTGTATGTGGCAAACACCCCAGCAGTTCCATGGGGTGGGAAGTTTGGAAATGCTGATTTCTACAATTTTACCATGTTTTTGAGCAGGAGGTTGGTGTTCATGACTTTTAGTGCTGCCGGAAGCTGACACTGTGACCAAATGGGAAGCTGGGCGACACACAGGATACCCATCCCACCACCTCTTGCTGCCATAGGTAAGAAGTTTCTGTGAACACCAGCCCTTAGGGTCTTATTGCTTTCAAAGGTTTCTTCCCAGGCTGACAAGGTTGGCATGGTTAAGAAGTGTAGTAGCATGGTGCAGAGTAGGGATGCAACACACGTCTACAGAACAAGCAAATGACAGTGTGCACAATGCCTACGTTTTTTCGAGATTGACCTGAGAATCAATGTGAATTGTAGGTGGATTTTCAAAAAACATTTAACTATTCATTTGAGAAATGGCACAAGCAGGGGGAGAGGCACAGGGCGAGGAAGCAGCAGACTCCCCACTGAGCTGGGAGCCCAATGTGGGACCCTATCCCAGGACCTGGAGATCATGACCTGAGCTGAATGCAGACACTCAACATTCTGAGCCACCAAAGGGCCAGGTGCCCAGGTGGATTTCTTTTTAAGATTGATCAATTGATTGATTGATGAGAAAGCACAAGCAGGCAGAAGCAGAGGGAAAAGCAGGCTGCCCACTGAGCAAGGAGCCCAATGCTGGACTCAATCCGAGGATACTGGGATCATGACCTGAGGCAAAGGCACGCACTTAACCGACTAAGCTACCTAGGTATCCCGCCTGGGTGAATTTGTAAAGTAAAAGCCTGAGGAACTTCTTGGAGCATCTGAACATTCTAGTAAAAAATTTCTCAGTCTTTCCTTATATAAGTCATCCCTTGTGAAGATTTAAAATTTTTAAAGCTGAAATCAGTTAGCAAAACCCTCAAAATGTTATTTTACCAGGAAAACATATTTTCGGGATATAGTCAAACTCCAGAGCATCACCATAGTCCTCTAGTTCAATTCAGATGATCTTTTTATTGAGAACAGTTCAAAAATTTCTCAAATAAACTTTTGGCTGGAATTTATTTTAAATTAGATGCGGGGGGGGGGAGTTCCCTGTGTGCAGAATGCAAATAATGTATTCCCAGTATGAAAGGGTCTATAAAAATACTTCTCTAAATATATCCTCCTGCAAATGGTCAAATGGAGATTCCAGGAGGCCTTCCCCCCTCCCCAAGTCACAGTGACTAGAAACATCTGTCATTTTTTCTTCCCTGACTTCTTTGGGTTTTCTTTTACTTACTTTGTAAGTTTCTATTTTCTGTGCATTACAAAAGGCTAGTAGGAAGCTTAAATTTGCCCATGTCCCTTGGCCACAGAGCAAGTCCACTT